GTGATGATCAAGATCAGTTACTCGCAATTGGACCAATGTGTAGATTTGCACAAGATTTAACATTAATTCTTAAAATTATTGCAGATAAAAATACTGATTTATTGAAGTTAAATCAGAAAGTGGATATTTCAAAAATCAAGGCGAGCTATAGTTTAAAATTTAAATAAAATTAATTATTTTTTCTTAAATTTAATTATTTTTTTAAAACTTAATCTTTATATATGCATGATTTTACAGCAAAATATCAGAATTAATAATTTCTCAAATAATAACCAGGGAATTATGTTTTTATATAATTTTAGCTCTATTATATGGAAGATGATGGTGGTCAGTACCTAGTTTCGCCAGTGGATCCAGAGATAAAAACCGCTATGAAAAGAGTGGTAAATTATTTTGAAAAAGCGCACAAAGTTAAAGCTATGAAAATAAATATAAAGAAGTTTAAAAAAGGGATAGCTCTCTGGTTGGCAAACATGTCATGCAAGGAGGAGGAAGATTTTTCATATGAGCTAACCAATAGGAAAGGTCAACTTAATGTCGGGTTGGAAATTATTAAATGGATGTTATTTATGAGCAATCATACTTTAGTTGCTCTTGTCACTGCCATATTCGAAAAATGCGGCTTAAAACATGGAAGTGAGGAACATGTTCGACTTATGCAACAAAGTAAAGATCTTTTTCAGGAATTGAAGGTACTTTGTTACATTACTTTTTTATGTCGTACGATTTTTATATCAACGTACGTTTCAAATATCACTATTGCTATAAAATTTTTCTGTATATGAAAACATAATGTTTTATACTTGTCATATGTTTTAGGATATTTTAGGAGAAGACGGTGTGTTTTTGTATCCAACACATCCAACTGCAGCTCCAATGCACCATGAACCGTTGTGTAAGCCGTTTAACTTTTCTTATACTGCAATCATTAATGTAGTAGGCCTACCGGCTACGGCTTGTCCATTAGGTTTAAATAAACAAGGACTTCCCATTGGAATACAAGTGTGTATTGATATATTTTTATGTAAAATTAAAAAATAGTATCTTACTTGTATTTTAAGTAATATAGTTTTAATCATATAGGTCATAGCAGGACTTTATCAAGATCATTTGACTCTCGCTGTTGCGGAAGAATTGGAACGAGGTTTCGGAGGATGGGTACCACCAGCAATAGTAGCCTGATATTAATATTGTCATAGACAATAATTCTATGAATGAACGACGTACACATAAAAGCCTCATCTTACCGACCCTGCCATCTTCTCTTGCGAAGTATTATATTTATATCAAGATTTTCATGCATGTAAACATTATCGAGGTAAAGTACAAATTATACGAATACAAATATGTGTATGGTGAATATGTATATATAAGTATGTATACGTATATATAGATACTCAACATGCATTTAATATGAAGTTACTTTCTTACAATTTACATTTCTTACAATATTTGATATTCCATAAGTTTCATGATGAAGTAAGTTTATATGGTATTAGGTGCTTGAATTAATTCTCGCTGGTTTTTTACTAAACAAAAAAAAATCGTGCTTATTTGATCAAAAGGATACCTGATATTTTATTCACAATATTGTCCATTGAAAACTATAACAAATATTAAAATCTTTGTAAGACCGTACAAGTGATAAGCACAAACAAACAAGAAGAAGATAGTCATAACGGATAAAGCTGGATCATAAAGCTTATTATAATTATGTGTGATTTTTATATATTGCGTATGTAGTCCACCCCAAAATCACGCGCCGAAATTTTTCAGCCTTAACGCAAACATACTACCACAGTAATATCACGAATTTAATTGTATTCACAATTCTTCTTTGATGCTTATAGCATTATGGATCTTAATATTGTTTGAATGACATATTAGAATTTGAAGATGATAAATTAAAATTCATTAATAATTTTAAAATTCTGTAAATAACTAGATCTTTTTTCAGGCCGCTCGAAATAAATATATAAATTGAATGATGATATCAATAGACTCGTAAGATTTAAAATCATAGAAAGTGAAAATGCCTAATCGAGTCTTGGAACAGGATGTTAGTGTTTTATTATCATTGTGTGAATATTATATACCGTGTATGTAGTCTCCCAATCGCGTGCCGAAATTTTTCTTCAGACTTACAACGCAACTCTAAACAACTACCACGATAATATCACTTTTTGTTAGATTGACAAACAATCTAACAAATTTCGATGCCATAGCATCTTATTAGATCTTAATAATATGTTGAAAGACATATATTAAAATTTAATGTTAAAGTAATGATAATTTAAACTCTGCGAAAAATAAGTTTACGAAGAATATCACAAGTTGGCGTTTCACACAATGATAATAAAACACTAACATCCTGTTCCAAGACTCGATTAGGCATTTTCACTTTCTATGATTTTAAATCTTACGAGTCTATTGATATCATCATTCAATTTATATATTTAGATCTTTTTAATTTTTTTTCTTATATATTGCGAAGAGTATCACATAATTTTGGTGTTTTGTCCCGGCTTCCACTACTGGACTCATCAGTAAGACATTGTAGTGGAAGCTGGTGGAAGCCTACCTTAGACGCCTTTTTTTTTTGGTTTTTCGTTGGGGGGGAAAATCTTCACTTCGCCCTAATCAGGCTAGATCTTAGACGCCTGAATTATTTTGTAGGAAGCCGGGACGAAATGCCAAAATTATGTGATACTCTTCGCAATATATAAGAAAAAAATTAAAAAGATCTAGTTATTTACAGAATTTTAAAATGATTAATGAATTTTAATCTGTTTCTCTCAATTCATGTGGGTTTCTCCTAATTTCCTAACTTCTGGATCATTCCCATTGCTTTTAAACGTTTGCTAATGGTTGACATTTAATGTTTTCGACAACTTTTCGATACTCTTTGAGTGTCTGACATAAATCTTGAAGTAATGCCTCCAACTCTTCATCTTCAAATTTTTTCGGCCGCTCTTTGTCATTTACGTCAAAATTGTTGTTTTTGAATCTTCTAAACCAATCTCTGTAAATTGTTTCATATGCATGCTCCCCATAAGTCTCCACTAGCAAATGATGACTTTCAGCAACAGATTTTTTGAAACACAGAAAAGTGATGTTTCTCGCAAATGCTCTTTTTTGGTACGAAACCCAACATTTTTAATACGATAAAAAATTGTGTTGTTTGCATCCGATCAAATGTTGTATACCGATTAAAGTTTATTGACTTTCATATACATAAGCAGTCACTTTCGGCCATGCTAAAACAGTACAAATACTGACCTCTCCTGGTCAACAGCAAAAATTAATTCAAGCACCTAATACGATTATGTTGTAACTTTGCATTTACGAAATTCCAAGGAAACATTTGTATTATATTATATGGCATCTAAATAAGAAAATGCATATGAGAATGCATCTTCTGATCAATTACTTATTGGGACTCCTTAAAATAATATAACGATTGTTGTTGCGATATTAATACAGCCAATTATATATTAATGACATTAATTCAACATAAAATAAAAATATCGCCACGTGCATATGTACGCTCTTACATAAGAAGAGTGGAAAACTTAATTTTGAAACGAGACATTAAATGTTTGTATAACGAAGAAGCTAGCTCTGTACAAATATTTTCGATTTTATGTTGAATTACAGTATTTATATACCTCAGGACTTCTATAGATAGAATTTTCTATTTTCATACGTGATGTATGTAAAATCAAATGATAGCAGGGTGTTTTTGGTGGTAACATGTGATAAGACATTCTATATTATTTAAGACATGTATTGATGTTGAAAATTTATACATATATATATTTTATCTACCGAAATAAATTTTTATTATATTATTTTATCACAATTAGATCTTCCTCATATCCATTTTTTTCAGAATTACTAACATGTGCTGTAAATAACTAACTATTTTATTAATATGAATATTTTCATAACGTAAGATAATTTTATAAATTATTATTAAGTATTTTTACAGTAATCAATATATATATAAAGGAAAGAAGTACGGATTATAAATTGTCGCGTTTAAAATATAATAACTTAAATATATAGGATTATATCACATTGCGTCAAAATTATTGTACATTTAGATGCAGTGCATAATAAATTACATTTTAAGAGTTCTACAAATTTCAAATTTTCTGATTTATCTTCGTAATAAATGATTTATTACATATGTATGAAATGCAGATAAGCAAAAAAATCGATAGAAAAAATCAATGAGATAGTCACTCGAAGAACAAGTTTCAGTGCATGTTTAACATACAGCATTTGATGTTGTAAGCTGAAAAAAATACTTCCTAGATGCTATTTAAAGTGTCTATATATATATATATATGTACGTTATATTTTAAAAAAATACAGATTGTGTATTGAAAATATTTATTTTACTACTAGCAAAAATGTATGATCTTAATAAGACTGTACTATTTGTAATATATGACATTTATATATATTTCACACACGAAATCTCTCATGCTTATCAATCATTCTTCAGTTCTCTCTCTCATAATTATAATTAAAAAGATATTTTACCAATCATTATAAGTTCCAAAACATACCTGATTCCTGTTAAATATGTTATAAAAATGATCATGAGATACATAGCATGAACAGCTTTTATTTTTCTATTACAGTCTCTTTAATATTAATATTAGTTAGATTATTTTAGGAAGAACTGCGTATATATAATTTGTAAAACAGGTACCACAGTTTCAGTAATTGTCTCATAGTTAAGTTAAATATGCCTAATAGGATCATCACACTATAAAATTTGTCGTAGGTATATTTTTGTAAACTTTAAAATTTAATATTTTTGCATGTTTTATAAGTACAGTTCAAGGATAAAAATCGTTAAAAACGTTCAAGACCTTTTCAGTACGCTTGTAATACTCACTTTTAATGATATTTTAAAAAATTAATATAAAAAAATCTGGTTTTATACCTATCAAGAATGCGGAAATCCACAACCAGAAAAGCACCGAGCCAAATTATATCTAAAAAATAGTCTACAAGAGAATTTGTTGCGATTATAAAATTATGATATCTGGAGACTGTTCGAGCCGTTATTTCAAGATTCACGTCACTTATAAAAAGACTCGTTTAGTAGGAAAAGACAGATTTCTATTTCAGTAAGTATTACAAATACTTAGATCTGTGGAGATCGACATTACGTTATAAGATTCGTTTTCTCTGACGGTGTTTCGCTGTTGCTGATGGTGATGAGAGCTCTTTCTTCTAATCTATTGTCCAACGAGTTGTCCTTGCTGTCGTTGCACGATCTGCTGGAAATCATCTCAAACTCGTTCAAGTTGATATCCGTGTCAAAAAACGCCAAATCAATGGGCTGATCTGTTCTATCTTCAGACTGCTGTGTCTCGTTTACGTTTCCGTTACTGATTCGTTCGTGTAATTGTTCCTTAACTTTATTTTCGTTATTTCTTGCTGATCCCGTTGTCTCTTTCTGTTTGTTCGATTCCTTATTTATTACATTTAGCTCTACATCCGTATGTGTCGTTCTCCCAGAAGAGAGTTTTATAGAATTGTCGGAGTTGTTCAGAAATGTTTTATCCGCGTTCATCGGAACGGCCAAGTCATCGTTCTTCTGATGGTTTCCGTTTGCGGTTTCCGATCCGTCTCGAAGGTTGGCCGGTTTTTGCGCGTCGACATGATGGTCTTTTCCCTTTTTAGCGGCGGCAGCGGCGAGCTCGGCTTCTTTCATGGCCGAGTGGATGACCGGCTCGGCCCACAATCCCGGGTTGAAGGCTGGCCCCGTTCCACCGAGCTCCGCCGGCAGGATGTCCGTCGGCAGGTGTTCGTGAAGCGTGCTGAGATTGTTGCCGTGCAGATAAATCTGCGAGGAGAGAAACGATAACATCTTTTTGCGTTCGAGGGGCGGTTATCTATAATGAGTCTAAATAATAATTTGTAGCCGCTTATGCATATTCCCGAAGGTACCTATTTACCGAGACATCCAGCTTACTCTATGTTTTTCTTGCAGATTACGTCGCAGGCAAGCAACGGAAATCGATTTATGCGTCGTTTTTACAATATCTGACTACGGTAAAAACTGGATAGCAAATAATCAGAAATCAATTACCAAGCCTGGTTGATCTACTTGCATGCAGATGTAATAATAAATTTTTAACGTTAAATGTCAAATAAAATTGTACAGTTATAATTATCTCTCGTTGCATACATTGAACTTTTGAAGCACGATTATAATTATGTAAATACTTGTTCCCAATCGAGTCGATTGCGTCAATTAGTATATTTTACTTAGGTTTATATTCATAGTTGAGTCTTATATTTAAGACTGTTTCAAGTAAGTACAGTTTTAAACGTCATAAACCAATCAAAGAACCGTATTAGCAATTTAAGACATTACTTGAAGTGGTTTTGAAATAAGAGAACGGAAGGAGACTATGAATATCGACTTTAGAAGATTTTTTCGTGCATCGCTTATGCATGCCTTACCTTATTCCGTGTCTTCTCGTCCAAAAATGGCTTCACCAGAGCCAGAGTTGCTTGGACGTAGAGCGGCGCCGAGAGGAAGTGTATCGCTTTGAATCGAGCGGGAAATCGTCCACGTAGAGCAGCTATTAGGTTTCGCAGAGCCGCTGCCCCTAACGCACCACCCTGCCGTAACGAGAATCCGCTCCAATCTACCACGGCGACGAAACCGGATTGCTGAAAAAAAGGAGCCGTAGGTCATCGTTAAGCGTTCAGGTGACGTATAATATAATGCCAACATAGAAAATCGGACGACGAGTCTAGATTGGTTGTCTAGATTTAGTTGAATGAAACAGCATTAGCTGCCATTGACAGAATTCAAAGCTATTAAAAAAATTGATTAAAAATTTAACAAAAGCAGCCACTGTGAATGAATGTGTTATACCTGATTTCGAGGATCTTGAATAAGTGTTTCCAGAACTAAGAATACCGCTCGTTGAACGGATAATGCGGGCACGGCTACAGGATCCCATTGCGACGCCAAAATAATCAGAACGCATCTGCCTTTCCTATATTGATCGATAAAACAAAAACTAATGAAATAATTCTAATTATAAGATAATTAACTAATAAGTATTACAAATAAATTTCTGTTTTACCTACATTATTAAAATAAAATTAAGAAAAGGATCCTTTCTCTTTTAAAGCTTAAATTATCAGACGCATTTAAATATTAATCGATCACGAGTACGTTTGTATTCTTGTGTAAAAAAAAAATATACCGTGTTAATATTTATGCGCAGGACGAAGCTTTGTCGTGCATTTTCCGTACATTTTTCGTACACAGCGCGTGCCGATAGCGGCGGAAAGGATAAGCATAAATTAGCAGTGCGTTCATCAGAAAACAACTGGCTGTAAGAGTCTAAAGAACACATTAAGTTAAGAGAAAGTCGAAATGACTCCATTTTGACATTATAAAAATAAAAATGATTTTTGTTTAAATTTGACTGTTTATTGACGTTAAGAATCAAGATGAAATCATTGAAATTTTTTATTAACCTTTGTGTATTTCTTAGGAAATCGTTATTCGTACCTGTCACGCGCAGGTAGGACACCCGGTATACCTGCGCGAAGCGCACGCTGCAATGCCGGGTCTCGGGCGGTGAGATTGCCGAAGATATCCTGGCGATGCATTATCTGCGCTTGATAAGCGGCTATCAAAGCCGCTGCCTGCTCGGTGCGATACTTCCGGGCTAGCAGGAAACGCGTGATATACTCATCCGTGCAATGTTCCAGGTCTGAAAATAACAAACGGGGACCGATCATTGCGATGCTACTCGTGAAATGCCTTGCGCGACCGGAAGCAATTCGAATGAGAATATTCCCCGGAAGTGTATACGCAACATGGGCTGAATTACATACTAATATTTGTCCTTAATCATCGATGACTATTTTTGATTGTAAAAAATAGCTGTTGATATCTCCTGTTAATTAGAAAATAGAAAATTCTGTTCTTTACTGTATTTTAAACATTAACATTTTTTTCCTCATATGTTCGTCAAACTTTAAATATTATCTATTTTATTTTAAGTACACAATAATAAGCATATACAGTCCTTATGTAGTTGTAAAGTAAAATTTTTTTCACGAACTGAAGATGTAATACCAAACAACGACAGATTTTTGTTTAAATATTAAAATTTCATGTCTAACTGTCTTTACGATACACAGATGTGATAAATTAATTTTTATTTTACTTGATGCAATTCTTACCTACATTCGGCATTTGCCGAAGTATAGACCTGACAGTCTTAATAGCTAGTTTCTTATCACGTTTATCGAATCTGCCTCCCTCTTCATAAATGCTACGGACCAAGCTGTTACGACCTCGGGAGGCATCGCACCACATATATTCGCAGTACTCGGACATTTTGTTTTCCTTTTCGAATGCGTGTCAATGATCTGAAATATTACAGAAAATAAAACATTTTTTCGTCACACAAATTTTATTTATTTTAAAATAATTACGCGATGAAATTTTTTCATTATCGAATTTTTATATTTTCGAAGCATTTCGGTTCAAGATCTGGTGAGAAATATGACATTGAGAATTTTTAAATCGTCGACAGATTTATCTCTGCGATATAAATATAAGTAGAATGTATAATTTTTATTGAATTTAATTTAGGTCGAGTTTAAATAGCAAAATAAATTCAAAGCAAAAACGAGATTAATCGCCAAAAAGATGAAAAAAAACGAGGTTCACTTGAGAAGAATGTTGAAATATTGCATTTTCATCGGTATGTATCATGGCTATGAAAAAATTTGATTGTGATGACGAACATTTCTGTGAAATATATTTCATTTAAATGAATATTTATTTCAGTAAAATAAATATATTTCTCACAAATATAATTTTTTAAGTAACTTTGTCTCACAATCAGTATGGAAAAAACCATACACGTAGAAACATTTTATCATCCAAACAAAAGACAAGTCATCATGACATTAAAATAACGTTAAAGTGACTAAAGTCATCACTTTTCAATTAGTCACGATTCATTTTAACATCATTTTGACGTTATTGTGACTTGTTGCTCTGCTTGGAGCACAGAGTACTATTACAAGTGATACTCGGTTTTTATTTTCAACTCATTAGTTATCAAAATATACATGATATCTATATGGTTTTATTTTTTATTATTAACGAAGCGACAACGCGAATATACGAGCAACACATGAGGAGAATCGTGTCCGCTGGCAAAAGCGCGATGCGCTCTGAATCATACGCGGCGTGTCGCGTTCAAGCACGACTGCACATTGCACCGGGCAACAAAGAGAATGTGTGTAACGTCCGATGAGTGATCCGCAAAGTGCAGTTATAGGTTTGCGTATAGTTATAGGCCGCTCCCACTGGATAAATAATACGAAATTTATCTAACGGACGTTTTTTTGCTCAAAACGCGATAATTCGCGATCGCACTTCCCTCCACGTTGGAAAATAAACGCGATTTGTAGTCATTAACTGGAAGATAAGTTGAATCCGGGAAACATCTAGGTGAAGGTAAGAATAGCATAAAATAAACGTCGAGGTAAGACCCGACTTGAAAGATCTCATTTCGCATTTCGCTTTTTCCTCGCACGTTAAATAGCAATGTGCAGCTCATTGCCCCAAGGATGATTCACAGAAAATCATCCTTGTGTGAAGAGCGTCATGCGAGCGTTCTTTCGACCGGTTCGGATAATTATTTCGCGAAAGTTTCACACGACCTTGCAACGGGCGAGCAAGCGATCGATCGATTCGCGATCCCTTACACTTTCCAAGCGGCTATAGCAATCGAACCGATCGTCTTGGGACACAACACTGAGAAAAAACTAGATCATTGTCGATCATAAAACGCATGATTTTGCGAGACGACATTCGATTCCGAAAATGAAAGTAAAACTGATGACGATTTATTTGAGAATCAATAAAATCAATAAGTTTTTTTTCTGCTGAATACAAGTGTGGTAAATGAACTGATGTGAACCGAGATAAGCCGCGAATGTTGATGAATGAAACCGAAGACGACCGATATCTTGACCGGCGAGTCGGAGCCGGTTTCAGAAACGGTACTTAGGCGTCTCGTAAGTTAATAAAGAACATAAATCACACACATCAAAGTTGTTACCTGCTTATCCTACAGCCTCCCTGTTGATACAGATCTCGAATCCGTGATCATATATATGAAATATCATTAAAATGATATATTTCATACAAAACCAAACTATTTTGATAAATTATATTAATTATACTCGATTGATAGTAGACCAAGTCGAGAAAATAAATAGAAATCTGATGAAAAACAGAACAACGTGTGCAGTTCGTGCCATTACGTCAGATATATCTGTCTCTCCAGTAAAGTTTACCGAACCGTTAATTACTGCCTCGGCAACACAGTAAAATAAGCTGCGCACTGGTGTGCAAATTGAAAGCGACGAAGAAACAAGAAAAACAGACGTAATTATAGCAGCCCCAAAGAGTTCATCCTTCGGACCTGACACTAAAATCTGTAAAACACAATTACTGATGCTAACAATTTACAAGACTTATTTAATAAATTAAATAATCAATTAAAAGGTACTAATTAATATCAAAGAATCAAAATGATATAAAAAGCACACAAATATTAAGTATATTTTAAGGATAATTCAAATTTTCAGATGTAATAAAGAAAATTGAATCGTTCGACATTTTTAACAAAGAATTTTACAATTGAGTAAGTAAAGTAGATCAATAGTCCAATAGACTTAGCAGTCAGCTCTGAAGAGTTAAGAAGGATTATGTAAGAAACGCAAACAATGAAACTTGAAGCGAGAAAAATTAAAGTGGAAGATAAAAGAAAAGGATACGCCATACTTACAGTGTAAGAGGGACTATTACGTACAAGTCTCTTAAGGGGAAGAGATTCCTGATTCTGCTCTCCTAATCGGGAAGCGTCGTGACGGTGAACACGAGGACAAAATCGGCGACGCACCTGCGCGACCGAGAGAACTGTGCGCGCAATGAAGAGTTACTTGGAGTCGCGTCGTCGGCCGGCGCCGCGCCGATTCGTTCGAAAGTGTCAGAGCGTTGAGAAACACGAGACGGAGAGCGAGGGGTAATAACCACAACGGGATTATACGGTGCGAGAGAACAAAAAAGAAACGGGACGGAAAGAGCTCACGAATGGGGCAGCGATGAAGAGAGAGGGAAAGAGAGAGGAAAGCCGGTTACCAATAACTTGCCGCTGACTCACCGCTCCATGTTCTCCTTGCACCCCCGCTATTATAATCTCATCCCGAAAAATTAGCTGCATTCAGCAGAAAAAGTATATAGCTTTGCTTAACTATGTCGTAAGATTTTTTAATGAGTGCATGGTTCTTATCTTATAGAAGAATGTGTTATATCTCTATAGATGTGTTAATATTTATATTTTATATCTAAACTGTATGCGTATAAAAGTTGTGTTTAACAATCTATTTTCCTTGAATAACAAGATCTTATTGTTTACTTATTTTGTTTATTATTTTTGTTGTTACAAATTAAAATCTGACGACAATGGCAAAGTTGCTTTTTTGCTGAACGCTGCAGCCATTGTTGCGTTCCAAATAATGTCTACGATCTACCATATAAGGATATCATGTACATATAGCGGATATAGAAACTGGCGTACTGTTGGCGCCATGATTATCGACGAGCGGAACTGAGCGAAACGTCATCAGGGCGATGTGAGTGGGTGGTGTAACAATAAATGTACGTATGTACATATCTACTTGACCACGCAAATCGAACAGTGTCGACTCTCATTTCTAAGGTGTTCTAAAATACACCATATAAAATTCTTCAGAACCCAAATCTTGCGCTTTTTTGGTAAAATTATTTAATAAAAAATACGAGGGAGTAATTACTTAATGTAATCGTGGGACGGAGTCACTGAAATCATAAAATTTATATAAAATTTCGATATATAATCCGATAATTACAAGAAATAATTGTGTAATATTAGATAAAATCGTTTATTTTACCAAATGACCGCATATATAGTGAGGAAAAATTATTTGTCATCAAATAAAATTATATAAAATTAAATGAAATCATATAATCTCTGTGGGACAATATTTCAGATAGTGGTTAGCCCCTTGAAAAAATATATATGAAGTGTTATCCGAATAATTTTGTGTCAAAGCAATTTATTTTTACACACAATGTATCTTTATATATATGTATGTGTGTGTGTAAAGACTTATTCAAGTATAAAAATAGTATTATTCGAAATAATTTATGTGTTTATTTATATATGTAACAGAAAATATTAATATGTGCAAGATAATTTATATATCTAAATTATTATTCACATACATACATATAATTTAGATATAGATTATTTTAGAAAAAGATTGAATGATAGCATATCACAAGATTTACTTTAATAAGTATTGAGATAACAACTGAAATAAATTTTTTAACATTGATAGAGATAAGACTAAGGATTAATAATTTGAAACTCAAGTATATTAATTAAATGCTCAAGTATAAACATGAAATATAAGTAACTTTTTATGAAATATTACACATAGACGATTTAAATAGAGATTCTCGTGTTTCTGAATTCTTCCAAATTTGCACGTTCTACGTCGTGCATAAAATATTGCGCGAAAAATTTGCATATTGCATTCATTGCAAAACAACACGTGTCATTAGCTGTGTCTGCTCAGTTTACAGATGCGCAGAAAATTACCAGATGTTCATCATCGTTGTTGCATAACAGCGCACAAAAAAAAGAAATAATAACAGATCGCATCTTAATCGCTCCAGAAACGTAGAAGCTTGATGCAGCTTTTTGTCAACTATATGAAGTATTTTGCATTTATTAACGATAACGCCGTACAATCAACAATGCATGTTACGTACGATGCAATGCGGATAAGGAACATGACATCGCGTAACGCGAGCTAATATTCGTAAAGTTAAAACCATTTTATTATCGGGGTTCAAATATACTTTGCGCTTCAATAATGTTTTAATTGCATTTTCAGCTAACAATTGAGCCTATTAAGCGATCACATCTCGTAATTCATAATTGTAATCCATGATGTGATCATTTTAAGTATGTAATCTACATACGCGTGTACTTTTATTTGTATAAATGGAAATAAATTGAGGACTATTATCTCTCTTACTAAATTTTAAAGTAATAAATATAAACTTACAACATTTAATTTGATTAAGAAATTCATTAAAAATTAAACATTGTTTTTATTGTTATTCTTGCATTGTTTTTCAAAAGTGAATCGCACACATAGTTATTACATCAAACAGTTATATTGCTTTTATATCAAACAATGTGATAGCAATATACAAACAACATTAAAAATTAAGCACGTTTTTTGCAATGTTTTAACAATAAGTTGTGCATATAGTCTACACAAAAAGTGACGTAATATTATAATAACGTCGTGATTAATAATTATCCTTGATTTTATATGAATATTATCTTTACATTATAAATTAGCCAAAATAAAATTGTAGAATTATGCATTAGAAAATTTATTATATGCATTAGAAAATTATTATATGCAAATTTATTAAAAATTAAGCATGTTTCATACGTTGCTTCAAGAACAATACTTCATCATTGTTTTCTATCTACGGACACAGCAATACGTGGTATGTTTTAACAAGTATGTATGACTCAACCGCATATCAAGTCATGTGCTGGTCGCCAATTGCAAAATCTTAATTCATTTAAAATTAGTACCGTCAAACTGCTTATTATGAACATTATTATAGGAATATTATTGGGAGAGCATAAATGTGATATAATTTGCACGCAATTACGCCAAATACCGTAAATAACAAAACTAAAAAACAAATGAGTTGAAGATAAAGGCAGCGACCTTACCGATAACTTTTTGTTAGTTAATCTGGTAATTCGAAGCAATCCAAAGTGCAACAATTGTATCCGCAAAATATGAACAAAAACAAGCAAGATACAATTTTTTATTTAACTTTATCGATGAATTTTCTGTAACGAATTTACAAATTTTTTTTTTTCTTTGTACGGAAGTCGTTCAGTTTTGTTCGAAACGCTTTTTCATATTCGTTCGTGCGACGCATGACGATGCAATAGTTGCATGCATATCACACGTCTGTCCAAGGAAGAAGTTGCGTAATGTATAACGGTAAAAACGCCGTATGGTACCAATAAAAGAGTTGTCTGTTTCCTTCATTCGGGCACTGAGACGCAATCATTCATTCATTCATTCCAAGTCTAATAATTAGCACATCAAAAATATCCTGCTATGAAGCTCATCACTTGAAACATTTAAAACGGAATTTTATAACGTTGGTTTATTTTAAAAAAATTTGCGTATTATGAAACTATAAAAAAATAGACTGTGAACACAGTAGTGGCTCCAAACGTTTCGGCTACACTTTGAGATTTTATAGGAAATTTAATTCTGCATAAAATGTGATTTTTATAAACATAATGGATCGCGAAAAATAACTTCCTCGTGAGAAGTTAGTGTTAAAAAAATATTTGAAATTATTTTATACGTTTTTACAAATAAACTTTATATATTGACAAAAATACTAAAAAATTAACGTTGTAAAGAATTAAATTATATTTGAATGAGATTAAATATAAATTAATCGTGATTTCGAAGATTTTTAGGCATTTAATTTTTAAGGAAACATTTTCCGATCTATATTTATAGGAAAAACGTTTTGTTTAGAATTAATTTTTCTATAAAGTTTCAAAGAAACTTCTGACCGGAACCACCCTGTATATATTGTGTGTATACATACAGCTTTTTAAAATAAAAAACACAAAGACTTTTTAAGTAATTTGTTATACCTACATATATATTAAGATGCAGCATATCGCTAAAAATATAATAAAGGTCAAAATTTAAAAAAATGTAAATTGTTACATTATTTATAAAATGTAAAAAATAAGCATATACAATTACATTATAATCAATATGAACGTGATTAAGCAAAAAGGAATATTAAGTATCTATACAATCGATTCGATTTTTAAAGAGATTATTAGAAATTCTTGCGAGAAAAACAAATATCAAATATAAAAATAATTAAAGTATTTACTAAATTAAGGAGAAATTATGATATAATGATGTTAAAAATATAAATTATTATATCTAATAAAGAATTCTGAAAAGATAATTAAATACATCATAAAATTTGTTGGATTTAAACGTAAATAAATCAAACACCACGTATATGTATATACATACATGTAATTTTATCTAAATTATAGTCTTAAGATGTTTCTTTTTTTTTTTATATCTGAGATGAGAGAAAAGAAAAAAAAATCGAAGTGCTAGGGACTCTTTTAGTATCAACAGGCTATGCCTCGTTTTACACAAACCGTGTTATCACCTTAAAGTGGACTCCACTAAACGAGCGTCGATAAAATGACGATATTATTCACGTAACCGGCATTAGAGTCTGATAATCGGGGACCGATCGATTTCTGTGCCAGTTTACATTCTATATGTATAGGTGTTCTTTCACTGTGTACGCATACGCATATTTATGAGTATGTACCACGAATGACATCGCGTTTTTTAAAAAGAGTCTCTAAATGAAAAAATAAATATCTAAAGAAGAGATCTTTTCAAATAAGGTTACCAGAACTAGCGCGTGTATAGAAGCTTTGTAAGAAAAGAAAAAACATAGAAACACGTCACTCTTATAATGTGTACCTTAAAATCGTACACGATATATTTCTTAGTTTCGCTAATCTTTTACAGTTTTATAGTTGCACGTTTCTATGTGATGCACTTTCACTAATTTTGATTACAACACGTACAACCACGCATTGCGATATAATGAATTTTATAACAACGTTATTATAAAAATTATTTCAGAATTTCTAATATAAATTTTATTAACTCGGAAAGAAAAAGGGGCACTAGGAGTTAGGCGCAGATAACTTTACGTAAACGCTGATATTTATTAAGCAAACTTATTTATTACAAAAATTATTCTAAGGATAATAAATAAATTTGTAATAAATATTAAAAATAAATATATTTGTAATAAATAAGTATTCTAAGAATAATTTTTGTAATAAATAAGTTTGCTTGATAAATATCAGCGTTTGCGCAAAGTTATCTGCGCCTAATTAACTCCTAGTGCCCCTTTTTCTTTCCAAGTTAATTTTTAATTTTATGGGAGTTTTTGTTACCAAAGAATTATTATATAAAATAAATTTTATATTATGTGTAAGGTACTATAGATAGCAATTTCGGACAGAATAAAATGTTGCAGCCTTGAAGGTTCACCAACAAAGACTTAATTTTGAAAAAACAGTCATTGAAATATTATGATACCTTGATGTGTCGAAATCAGAAATGACTAACATATAAAAATTGTAAATAAAAAGTACAGTATATAAAAATGTATAAGTGTAAGATATAAATTTTCATGTTTAAACATACTTCTGATTTTAAAATATATAAATATACAGAGATGTATGAGATATACATACAATTTATATCTATATAAGTTTATGCGGCAAAAGTTGATCAATAAAATTATATCGATGACAAAAAAAAAACTATCGTTACAAAAACTTAATGCACTACAATTTGCAAAATAAACTTTTATGGCTTTCTTACTTTGCATTACAAGCGCAGAAGCACACAGGAAGGCCGGGAATCACACCGCAGTCGAGAATGATGGTCGCGGGCTTGATCACGACCGAATGATTATTGCTAGTCCATCGCCGTCGGGAATTCCCGCGTCGCGTTCCGCGGATTTGCACGCGTGCCGATTTAACCGCTACGTGCACGTCAATCGTCGAGGAAGCGCCGCCGTTCGACGCAGCTCGAACGTCTACCGCGAAAGCAGTGATGCCCAGATAAAGTAATTTTTCCCACCACTCGATCGTCCCCGTCACTCCGGAGAATCACGTGACTGCTACGACAGACTCGAACTTACAATTGGATCCAATGAAAAATATTTGATCTTTTCTTTTACTTATAAAATATATGTAATTTTTTTATTACTCGTCGTACTTTTTTCTGCAATCTTTCTAATCTCTTTAAATAAAATTAAATAGAAATGATTGCTAGTTATAGAATTGCGCACAATTGTATTTGCATAATATAATATTATTTGTTATGGACGGAGTAATTTCTCATAGTCTCTCTATTGCAGCAACAAATATTTACGTGACACGTTAATAGTGGAATAATTTGATATATTTTTTCTCACAACCATATATAAATTACTTAATTTAATTTAGAAAATTTAAAGAAAAATTTATTCTGTATCTTGTTTGTTCTTAGAGTATTCATAATGATGGATCTAAAAATATACCAGACGCTCGACCGAATACGCACGCTACTGAGAGTCACGTGATATGACTATTACACACTACTGCGCATGTGTGGAAAATCCCCCGTTTGGCGTGATTCGGGCTGCGGTCGAGTTGCCACTACGAATGCTTTGAAGCGTTTCTTGATTGGTCAATTTGTAAAACTCTTTCTTTTGATTGGTCAATCAAACGCTTCAAAGCATTCGTAGTGGCAACTCGACCGCAGCCTCGAAAAAGGTTATAGGTACTCTACGTTGTACGGGCGCCGTAGCCACAGGCGTCCATCAGTGTTTGGGGGGACGCGCCATATTTGATCATCATTACATCATCCTTGAATTTCTGCCCGGTTTTGAGGCTACCGGTGCCTTGCATACTGAATTCAGTTTTTATTTACATTTTCGAGGACTCAGTGGCTCAGTGCCAGCCCGTTGGGGCTGCGGGGCCAAAAAAGAAGAAGAAGAAGACCGCTTGAGCTTGATCTCCTTCTTATATCTTGGTTGCCTGGCCAACTAAGCTAGAAGAAAAAGAAGAATATCCTTCTTATTACTTCTTTGAACTAGGTTCGACACCGATCGTAGTTCCCAGGACAGAACATGTACTAATAACTAAAGTTCAGTGCGATTTCCAACCCACTTGCAGCACTCGATGGTAGCGCGCGCCATCGATCGGCGGCCTGGCGTAACCGGTAGCACAAGTTTAGAGACCAATATTTATTGGGGGGGGGGGGGAGGGGTTTGTAAATTATATGTATATTATAGTCCCTTGTGGCTGGGCCGGTTTTTGTGCGTCTTCGTGGGGCCCCCACTATTGGACTCGCCAGTAAGGCATCGTAGTGGGAGCCTGTCTCAAACGCCTAGGGGAGTCTTAGATCGAGGTTCTATATAAACGGATTTCACATGTCTCGAGTACATGCGAGAATTAGCGCGAGTTACTTATAGGAACTCTAGCGCGAGTCTCATCCTTGGACCTCTGGTGGCGGGTTGTTACAATATAATATGTATATATGTAATTATATATATACAGGGTGTTCCATTTTAAACGTTCCACGCGATTATCTCAAAAAGAAGGAATTTATCGAAAAAATGTTTCAGACAAAAGTTGTTTGACTCGAAGGGGGACATAAGGTGGTGCCATCGATTTGACCTTGGGTAGTCCTCTGAAGGTTACGTGAAGGTCACCTTTAATTTTTTAAATGGAATTATGTAATTTTTTTTAGATAACGTGATTCCTCTAATTATTTTGCATATAAAAGTATTAAGGTAGAGATACCAAAAAACCAATAGTTTACGAGATATTTTACATTTTATTTTGGTACATATTGACACAAAATGTTAAATAACTCGTAAACTGTTGACTTTTTGATTATCGTACCTTAATACTTTTGCTGAACAGAATAATGAGATAAATCAAATGGTGTAAAGAAAACACATAGTTGCGTATTTAAAACATTATCCATTTTGCATACATTTTTTTTTAAAGCAACCATGTGTTTTCTTTGCAGCCTGACGGACGTGTTTCGGTTCGGGTGCTTTCCACTGTATATTTTTGAAAGTGTTGCCGACTGTGCATCGCATCACACAGATGCCTAGGCATAATGCCTAGTTCACACTAGGCGCGATGAGCGATGCGCGACGAGCGATAACCAATAAGAACTCTTCTTTACATCGTCGTGTGAGCTAAAGCAAAGCTTTTATTGGATATCGCTCGTCGTTCATCGCCCATCGCATCCAGTGTGAACTAGGCATAAGGCTGGAGTCACATGGAGTGGAAATTACAGCGGAACGGAACAGTGAAACCAATAGAACTCTACAATTATTCCGCTGCTATACTTTCTGCGATTGTGATTGGTCTCGCTGTTCTGTTCCGCTGTAGATTTCCGCTCAATGTGACTCCAGCCTAACCTAAGTCGATTTTTCGTTTGCTCCTCTCCTATGTAGCAGTATTAACAGCTCGTGTGGATCAATTGTTTTTCTAACCATGTCGAACATTTTAATTATTACAGACCAGAACACGAAGCGCGATACCGGCAGAAAAGTACAGAAAAAGAATATCCAGGCGGGCAAGGTGAGCGTATAAAATATTCTGTGTGTCAGAGAGCAATGTAACGCACTCCTTCAATTTCTTGTAAGGTATTTCTCGATTTTCACGAGATACACCCACGTGTTACTAGTATGACTTCCCAAAGAGAGATCAGATTAAGTTCGTTTATTCGCATTGATTTTTGTATCGCTAACTTAAAAATACTTTACGTACTTGTTAATTCACTTTGTGGGTTTGTCATGTACCAAAAAAGAATTTGCGAAAATTTTCGACTATCTAACATAAAGCATAAGTTTTTCCTAAAAATTTGTTTTTAAAAAATATTTCTAATGGTTTCTGAGTTATTCACGAGTTAAGTAAAGAAATATTTTGATTTTAATTGCTCATAACTCCATTAAAAATTAAGATATTGAATTTCGGTTATAAACAAGCAATCGATGTAAACAGTTGACAAACTTTATTATAATATTATATAACTTTATTATAATTCTGTAATATCTGAACATTACAACCAACATAATTATTCTTTTGATTGGAATAACATTCAGATTATGGATGTAGAATCTCATTACAACAAGAGGCTGATTTCATAAATGCTTTGTATTAAAGAACGGGAGAATAGTATTAATGCCCAAAAAGACACTGAAAAATTAGACAAAGCATATGATATTTTCGGTAATTATATAGAATACGGGCCTCATCTCCGATTTTGATCTAATTAGGCTCATTCGACGCGTTTTCACTCAAAATGAAAGAATCCGGAAAAAATTTGTGGCGATCGACCTCGTGAACCGAGATATTAAGCGTTAAAGTTCGAGATTTTAGAGGTTAAGATATCTGTCACTGCTTTAAAAATAACAAATTACTGCTTTAGAGAAACACAAAAAGAGACTGCTTTAAAAATACAAATTACTGCTTTAAAAAACAATTCAATTTAAAATAATAGTGGAGTCCCCCCCCCCGCAGAACCCACTGCATCCACGCATACACGCATTTGTTTTAAATTGTTATATTTATATTATGTTTGTATATATTATTGAGACTGAAGAGGACTACAGTAAGAGTTGAAACGTTTCGCTTTAAATTTTAAATTGTGAAATTATAATAAAGTTTGTCAACTGTTTACATCGATTGCTTGTTTATAATACCGAAATTCAATATCTTAATTTTGTCGTTTTTAAAAAATAACAAGCGTTGTCTTAATACTTACATTCCATTAAAAATCATTGTATCTCAATTAGGGAAAAAAAAAACTCTTGTTTTTTCTTAAAGCTGAAGCTTTGCTCTATCAAATGGTATAATCACTAATTTTTTAAGTGTACAATATATTATTTTGAAATAATAAAATACTGGGAGGACATTTCCTTCAGTCTAATAATATCATTGAATTAACATGATTTTCAAGTATTACATTGAATCAATTTTTTTTGTTTTTGCATATATAGGCAATTGCAGATGTCATCAGAACATGTTTGGGTCCTCAAGCCATGCTGAAGATGTTGATGGATCCAATGGGTGGAATCGTAATGACAAATGATGGAAATGCGATTTTGCGTGAGATCACTGTGCAGCATCCTGCTGGAAAGTCCATGATAGAAATTGCCAGGACTCAGGATGAAGAGGTAGGAGATGGTACTACTTCGGTGATTGTTTTATCGGGCGAGATCTTGGCTACTGCCGAACCATTCTTGGAACAGAACATGCATCCTACTGTCATTATAAGAGCATATCGTCAGGCTTTGGAAGATATGGTCAAGATTCTCAATGAACAAGTCAGCATCGATTTAGATTGCAGCGACAAAAATAAACTGGTCCAAGTAATAAACTCCTGTACAGGTACTAAATTTATCAGACGTTGGTCTGAATTGGCCTGTCAAATCGCATTGGATGCTGTTCATACCGTGATGCTCGAGGAGAACGGTAGAAGAGAGATTGACATCAAACGTTATGCTAAGGTAGAGAAGATACCCGGTGGTACAATAGAGGACAGTACTGTCCTCAAGGGTGTAATGATCAACAAGGATGTGACACATCCAAAAATGAAACGTTACATCAAAGATCCAAGAATAGTACTGCTTGATTGTCCATTGGAATATAAAAAGGGCGAATCTCAAACGAATATAGAGATAATGAAAGATGTTGATTTCACTAAGATTTTGGAATTAGAGGAGGAGTATGTGAAGAAGATGTGCGAGGATGTTATTTCAGTAAAACCAGATGTCGTGATAACAGAGAAGGGCATATCGGATCTCGCTCAGCATTACCTCGTAAAAGCCGGCATATCTGCGATACGCAGACTACGAAAGAGTGACATTAACAGAATTGCCCGCGCTTGTGGTGCTACTATTGTCAATCGTACCGAAGAACTCAAGGACGAGGATGTTGGAACAGGTGCTGGTCTTTTCGAAATCAAGAAACTTGGTGATGATTATTTCTGTTTTATAACAGACTGCAAAGATCCAAAAGCTTGTACTATCATTCTGAGAGGTGCTAGTAAAGATATCTTGAATGAGACTGAAAGAAATTTGCAGGATGCGCTGCATGTTGCCAGAAATCTTCTTATTGATCCAAAGCTTGTACCAGGTGCGTAAGATTTTATTAGTGTTGTGTTATCTTCCGTCACAAAATTATTTACACCACTCCTTTCGTGTTTTGTTTTCCTTTTTTCCCCATAGGTGGTGGAGCAGTGGAAATGGCAGTATCCCGGCTTTTAACAGAAAAGGCAGCAGGACTTGCAGGTGTAGAACAATGGCCATACAAGGCGATCGCACAGGCCTTGGAGATCATTCCCAGAATGCTAGCACAGAATTGTGGCGCAAATACTATCAGGACTCTAACGGCGTTGCGCGCTAAACATGCAACAGAAGGAACTACTTGGGGCATTGATGGAGAAACGGGAAAATTGGTCGACATGAACGAACGCGGTATATGGGAACCACTGTCCGTAAAATTACAAACGTATAAAACTGCGGTCGAGACTGCTATCTTGTTATTGAGAATAGACGACATTGTCTCTGGAAGTAAAAAGAAGAAAAATGAAAATGAAACCACGCAGCAGAGTCAAGTTACGGAGGAGTCTATGAAAGAATAAATATTTTCGATATCTATTGAAGCCTAATTGCTTTATATCTACTTTAAGATTTAATTATTTTGCACTTTCACTGTTTGTCAAATTGTTATCTCCTTTGCATACATTTTCAAAAAATAAAGAGACAAGTGCGCCCTGGTAATCATAAAATTTTTTTATTTACATCACCCTGGTATTATATATATATATATATATATAAATATATATGTGTAAATATATATATATATGGCGCACATCTGGAGATTTTTATTATTAGATATTAAAAATAAATATAAAATTGACAATATAAGTCAACTCTTAGTCAATTACACTCAAAATCGACAAAAAATCATTTTAGAATAGTCGATATTATAAATGTCAACCATAAAAATTGACTTTAAAAGTCGACCATAAAAATCAACTTTAAGTCGTCTTAACGATGTCTTTTGGAAAAGTCCTCAAGACGTCTTTTTGAAGACGTCTTTTAGATGTCTTTCAGACGTGCATTGTTCTCTGGGATGCATATTATATTTTAACTGTTCTGATAACATCAGTAGGTACACATTCCTTTCATCTAAAAAAATTCTTATACAGTTCATCCTTTCTTTTTTTGCCCAACAAGAAAAGAAAAATTAACAATACAAAAATTTAACTAAGAAGTCCTAATAGTTCCTATACGGGTATTAATATTTAAAAATACTAGTAAATATTGATAAAGGCTCTATAAGTATAAAACAATATAAATAAAAAGGAAGCAAAGAGCTGATAATATATGAACCAAACAGATTCGTGATAATCAGTGACCACTGATGTGACTCTTTGCCCTTTTTTTAATTCAGTGGTCACGTGATTATCACGAATCTGTTTTGTATATTATCGGCTCTTTGCCCCTTTTTTATTTATATAGTATTAATATTTAGAAAATTAAAATTAACAATAAACCTTCTAGGTCATAGATATATTGAACAACCATTATTGCTCAATTTATTCTTGACCTGGGAAGTTTATTGTTAATTTTAATTTGTTAATTTATTTGAGCTGTTTGTAATTCAATTTTAATTAATATATATATATATATTTAGTTCATCAAATCAGTACATTTTTTATAATAAATTATTTACAGATTTTGTATCTTTGTATACTTATCAAAAGAAAAAAAAATAAAACTGTACTAGTTAAAAATGACGAAAACAAATTTTTGAATGTTTCAGAATTTTATATTTTTTTGTTATAAATTAAGATTTCTTAATAAAAAAAAATTTATATTGCATAGTAAAAGTTTTAGAAAAAATATGTATAAGAATAATATGACATAAATATATAGCAATCTTGATTACGCATTTGAGGCTTTTACGGATATTTTCTTCAATTATACTAGAAGGTTTGCAGGTTATCGCCGTGTCTTCTGTTATTATTGATGGTGAACGGCATGGTTCACAAAACGTTGGCATCAATAATGCAGAAAGACACGGCAGTAACCCGCAAACCTTCTGGTATAATATAGCAATCTTTCTTTTCCACATCAGGCATTAATACGGTTCCAGTAAAAACAAAAACACAAAAATAATTCTTCTAAAAAAATATATATGTATATATATAGAATATATGCATTTGTACATACATTTATGCTCGTAAAAATATATTCAGTTAATTCAATTAAATTTTCATGAATATACGATTGAGCATCATATCAGAATTGCCGAGCATATAAAAAATTATCGTTTTGTGAATATAGTAATATTGCAAGATTTTAGTTGTGCATAATTTATAGTAAAATGTTGCTTGGATAACTTGCATATTTATTTGTATGATATACAATTATAAAACCACCGTATACTATCGAAACTAGCAAGCTTTCTCTTTTAAACGTGTTTAATTTTAATATATTTAATTATGTAATATTTTATAATGAGAAAATTAAGTTAACTCTTACATATTTATAAAACATATAGACAATATATAGTATTATAGTTTAAGCGAAATTGATTACGTATTACGTCCTATACTTTAAAAATAACTTATCTCGTGTTATATTTATAGAATAGATAATAATTTCTAAATATTTATATTTTATAAACCATTTTTTAGATAATTATTTATAAGTATTATAATTAATAGTTCATAATTATTAAAAATATAACATAAGTATTCATTATTATAAAAATATTTTTCGCATAAAAGAATTGCAAATTTTTGTTAAAAATTTAAGGAAAGGACAAACTATTATATAATATATATCAAAGATCTTTTTTTGTATTACATTAAATATTTTCGCAATTTTTATAAAAAGAATTTTAATTTTAATTAAAAAGTTTTTATATCATACAGAATATTTGAATACTTTTCCTCGCAAATATCTTTTAAAAACAAATATGTATTTTGATATTTTATCGTGCGCAAATAATATGTACGATAGTCTTATTTGCAGCTGTCGTTAATTTTAGTTGAAAATCATTACTAATTTTAAGTGAATTATATTTATCGCACTCTGATACGATATTGTGTGATATCGTACAATTTTGATAAGAAAAACATATGTTGTTTGTATCCAAGAGCAGAAATCCATGACAGAATTATGCAATCTCTGATACACTGACCTTTCATATCACATTATAGAGAACTTTTTAGAGATAAATATGAGTAGTATAAATTTCGTTACAGCTTGAATATGTGACAAGGCAAATGAGGAGCAAACTTTCAAAATTTCAAAATGTCGAAAAACTCATATTTTAAACTACTCTATGTTGTGAACGCATTCTTTCATCATCAATTTATTTGCTGAAAAAAGTCTAGACATTTGAAGTGCATTATATTCTTTAACTAGAGTTTAAACAATATGCATTTATTTAACATTTTACGTTTTACTGATTACCAAATTGTTATTTTCTGTAAGATGTGTAATTATTCTTTGTGGCTTTCTTTCTCTGTTTTTTGAAAATTATAAATTTTGGACAAATCGCATTTTGAAAATCTATATATTAATATATATATATGTATATATACTTTTCAAATAACAATAAATATATAAAGGTCTATATTAAATTATATAAAATAAAATATAATTAATATTTTATTTTAATTCTTATTCAAATTATTTTCTTATTACAGGACCTATTTTTTTCTTTTGCTCATTTTAATATTTTTTTTTAAAAGTACCTTTCTAGTGTTCAAACATTTCAAAATCTTTCTTTAAGTTTCAGGCCGGTATTTATAGTCGGTCTTATTTCAAGACTGTCTTAAGTAATCGGCCCTCTGATTGGTTCGTGACATCTCAAGACTGAACTTAAGACGGACTTTTGAGTATAAGAACTGATTATGAATACCGGCCTAAATTTACAATCTTGCTTTACAAAACCATAAGCCATAAAACTTACGGTTGAAAGAAATCGAGCAATTACAGTTTATTATTATTTTTTTTTTTTGCTTTATGGGTTACGGCCTCTTAAAACAAATCAAGACGTAGACCTAGACTTAGATTCGCTAACGTTCCATAAAGTTTTCCTATACTATAGTACGCTTCTCCCACCATACAGAAAGAAGCTAATTCTCGTTAGCCTTGATAGAATAAATCGTCAGAATAGCGGACGCTCCATAGATCCCGCAGTCAACACAATTCTCATCCGGATTCGTGCACCGTCGATTGTGGCAAGCGCATCATCGTCGTCTTCGTCTCGTTAATCATGACACGCTGCGGCTGACCGTCCGTGACTTGTTTCGATTCGGAAATTAATAACGTTTAAACGACATTAGTGCAAAGTCATCCCGCTGATAATTGTCTAACGTATCACACCGACGCTGCTATCGAACTTTTAACAGTACGCGCCACTTCAGTGCTAGCAGTCAGTCGATGTTCGATTGTCAGTGCACATCCTACGGTCGCAACTTGACACGAGCCGCCAAGGGAGTGGTCATTATTGACGTAATAAACGAGGTAGTGTAGATTCAGTTGTGTATAAGAACGAGTCAAACGCTTATTCTTTCGCTACATGTTATTAAATTTATATTTTGTGAGATATCGCTTGTATAAAAAGAATGTTAATATTGATATTAAAACTTTATTGATTCAACCTGTTTTTCATCACCTTTCGTTCTATTTGTCTTGAATATTTATTGCATGTTGGAAATTGAAATATGAAATAATGTAAATACTGTAAAAATTCTAAGCTTTTTTTATTAAAGGTACAACGCATGCGCGTATGTCTTACAGTTATTGTTCTTACACTTTATATCACATTTATGGGGTATATTACAATTATTAAATTTATATTTTTATTATTTCCATTATTATTATATTAATGATTATTACGACATACATACGATATACGTACAAAATGTACATACGATGTTAGTATCGAAGAGTTTTTTCTTTCTAAACTTTTTTCTATATTAATCATTAAAAAATTGAAAAATTTATTGCGACATTGAACTAACCCACATTTTCTGCGTATAAAATAATATATACATAGTAAATCCTTCAATTGTTTTTGTGACCGATATTAAAGTATATACCTAAACATAGACATTTTTATCGCTTTATTATCGTGAAAATTATTATGTGCAATTATTGACTACTTAAGTGCGGCAATTATTTATGTAACGGTCGGGCAAAATTGTCGGGCGATTAAAATTTACATGCAATTATATGTGTATTGTTACGGTTAAAGACTTGCAATAGGAAATCGACCACATCGTAGGCACGCATCGTGTAGCACGTAGAAAATTTTGTGGTTCAATAAACGGTTTTTTCTCGGTTAGCTAAGATCTCCCGTTGTGAGAACGCGATCGCGTCAGTATATGCATTTCAATATGGCGAGATTGCTGATACATATGATTTGTTAAAGTCACGGAAGAGGTATCGTTGAGAAGTTAAGTAACTACTCTGAGAAGCACTCCTGAGAAGCACTCGTCTGCATCATTTCACACGTGAGACAGAGAATAGATTGCGAAACATTATACATTATCTAAGAATCTAATTCTCCCGCTCTCAATATACGTGACTTCAAGATGACATTAAACTAACGTTAGTGAATCTTATGTTTGAAAATCCTTCTTTTCAATTACACACGAGCGTGTATAATAAACAATTTGTTCAATGATAATCGTTTGCAAATAAAATTGTCTCTTAAAAATAGTATGCATTTGTACTACATTATATATATTCCCATCAGGATTTCAGAAAGAAATTAAATAGAAAGCAAAACAATTTATTTGTTTGCTGTTGATCTCCTTACATTGATTTATTAGTTTAGCAAGAAAAGCAGTTTTGTAACTGTTGTAAGATTCTTTAATATGACTGGTCATATATTTAGGTTTTCAGCAAAGAACTAAAGACAAGAACTAATCATATTTAAAAATCTTACAACAGTTATGTGTGTATGTGTGAAAAACTGCTTTTTCCTGCAGACGCAGTAATTATATACACAGATTTTATGATTGTGTTATATACAGGGAGGGGCATTTAAAACAGGTCACCTGAATAACTCGCTTGTTTTTGACAATAGAAGAAAAAGTGTCAAACAAAAGTTGCTTGGTTTCGAGGGGCACATAATGTGATGTCAATAATTGTTTTTTTGGTGGAGGCGCTAAAAAGATATGAAGGTCACCTCCACTTTTTTAAATGGAATTATGTAATTTTTTTTTAGATAACGTGATTCCTCTAATTATTTTTCATATAAAAGTATTAAGGTAGAGATACCAAAAAACCAATAGTTTTCGAGATATTTTACACTTTATTTTGACACAAAATGTTAAATAACTCGTAAACTGTTGACTTTTTGATTATCGTACCTTATACTTTTGTTAACAGAATAATAAGATAAATCAAATGGTGTAAAGAAAACACATAGTTGCTTTAAAAAAAATATACAAAATGGATAATTTTTTAAATACGCAACTATGTGTTTTCTTTACACCATTTGATTTATCTCATTATTCTGTTCACAAAAGTAAAGGTACGATAATCAAAAAGTCAATAGTTTACGAGTTATTTAACATTTTGTGTCAATATGTATCAAAATAAAGTGTAAAATATCTCGAAAACTATTGGTTTTTTGGTATCTCTACCTTAATACTTTTATATGCAAAATAATTAGAGGATTCACGTTATCTAAAAAAAATTACATAATTCCATTTAAAAAAGTGGATGTGACCTTTATATCTTTTTAACGCCTCCACCAAAAAAACAATTTTTGTTTGACACTTTTTCTTCTATTGTGAAAAACAAGCGAGTTATTCAGGTGACCTGTTTTAAATGCCCCTCCCTGTAGACAGATTACAGAATTATGTAAAAAATATTTCTGCACAGTCATTTCTGCACATTTATAATTAACCGGTTTGCTTTAATATTGTTTATACCGTATTGCTTTAATAGAACGTATTGCTTCGATCCAAACATTTTTCAAAACTTACAATTAGTCCGTGGTCACAGTTGATCGAAAATTAATAATTTCCTTTAGTTACAGGTTATATAATTCCTAAATTAAACAAAGATTTGTTACTAAAGTTTGATGACGTAAGGATAAAGTTTTTTTAAAACTCTATAGATTTTCTTATATTTAGTTTATTTCAGACGTATACGAGTATATATTCTTAGTCTGATTAACTTAGATAAACTGCTCTGTGCAAGGCATGCAGATATTACGTTAATCTAATATAAAAAAGAATTATTAGTTTTACAATATTAGTATTGTTAATAATGTCGAATAAACTTATTTTTATTAAATGAGTTAAAACATATTCTTATTAATTTTGTATAATATTTTAAAATCTATTTTTGTAAGATAATCTATATGATTTGTGTTAGACCTCGGAATAAAATTCTATTATATAATGTTATATGCGATACAAAAAATGGCTTATTAAAATACGAAATAAATTGATTCAGATATATGCACGCACAGTATGAAGTCGCAAAAAGTCGCGATTTTTTAATTGCTGTTGTAAGCTATAAATACAATTTATATTTAGGCTGAACGAAGCAAATATCAAAATGTGTACTGAATGTTTAATTGGAATTTAAAGGTTAATGACATTTATAAATATTAAATATATGCATATAACTATGATTTAAAAAAAATAAATTTTTTATGTAACATTTTACTTCATTTTCTGGAGTAAATTTGTATCGATATTGATTTTATTGTATTAGTTTAGTATTTTACCGCTCTCGCCACTTCATCTAATATGCACATTTATTGAATTTAACAGAATTTCATCAAGATGCCACACGTTCTGAACGTCTTGTTGCATCTAGTCAGTCTAGCGGCTTACAGCTTTACACTCTACTACGGCTACAATAAATTGCATTTTCCTGCATACAACAATAAGTCCATCGATTTCGATCCTGGCCAAAATAAGTTTTTAACTATGTGGAATGTGGTAAGTAGTATATGTTAGTTTTAATCGTATAAACTTATCTTCTTTTCCTCCTTCCTTTAGATAAAATATATTATTATATTATATATATATATATGTGTATACACACACATATGTATATAATATGTATAAGAAAATATATTAGTTATTATAAAATACATAAATGTAAAATACTTAAAATATCTAATATTATAAAATATATCGCATGATAAAAACAGGGTAAACAAATTATAGAACCATAAATAAACTAGCTTATACTGTACAGCAAATACTTTTTAAAATAATTTATCGAAAATACCTATTCATAGATTTTTTAGTGTTCTAAATAAAATAAATTTTTATTTATATTTTATAAGAAATAAAATAATTTCTGTGAAACAAATTTTTATCCGGAGATTTTGTAAAACTGATTGATAGAGGTATAGATATTGCAGTCATTTTCTACCCAGATTGATCAATCAGAGCTTGAAATGGAGATTGAACAATTTTTATATGGAACACGATTTCATATTACAAACCTATCAAATTTTTCGTACAGTCAATTAGTTCACGATTGTCTGAGTCTTCTCTGCTCGTGACATGCATATATACATAACTTGGTGCTCTTTTCACGTTAGTCACTGTAAGTTATATATTGTAAATTACAAAAAACATTTTTCACGCACGCAATTATAACAAACTCATCATCAAACAACATCTATTTATAGTTTTAAAACAAACACAGTCACGAATACGTACTAACATATACATATAAATCATTAATTCATTACGTCAGGATAAACATTATCGTCATACGAATTATAAAATTTTCAAAATAGGAAATCATAGCTGAGAATTTATTATATTGTATTATAATAAATTTATTATTATGTATTATAATATGCTTATAACGTTGAGTTGTTAACATAACAATGAAATAAATTACTTTGCAAATCAATAACAAAATATTTTGTACATAGCATGTTAAACCTTTGTGTAGTGCTTGTTACATGCTCTGATTAGTAAATAAATATATAAACTTAGTACTCTTTTTTTACATTTAATCTTTCAAATGATAATGTATCTTGTGATAATTCAAGATTTTACAAGCATTTATTAATCCACAAGATTCCTAACTTTAAAAAATACCGTATTAGCTACTATAGTTTTCTAATAAAGTAAATATTTCGCGTAAACATATTTTAATTTATAAATGTTACTTAAGAATACTCGAATTGCTTGAGAATAGATATCCGATCTTTATCAGATTTTCCTGTTTGTTGTATATATACAGGGTGTTCATTTGAAAACTTTCCAGCTGATTATCTCGAAAACTAAATCCAGTAGACAAAAATATTTCAAATAAAAATGGAACTGTGTCGAGGAGGACACGTTTTAGTCACGTTGTTTTTTTTCTAAGTGGGGAGGCGCTAAAAAGATATAAAGATCACCTCCACTTTTTTAAATGGAATTGTGTAATTTTTTTTAGATAACGTGAATCCTCTAATTATTTTGCATATAAAAGTATTAAGGTAGAGATATCAAAAAATCAATAGTTTTCGAAATATTTTACACTTTATTTTGGTACATATATTGACACAAAATGTTAAATAACTCGTAAACTGTTGACTTTTTGATTATCGTACCTTAATACTTTTGTGAACAGAATAATGAGATAAATCAAATGGTGTAAAGAAAACACATTAGTTGCGTATTTAAAAAATTATCCATTTTGTATGCATATTTTTTTTAAAGTAACTCTTATGTGTTTTCTTTACACCATTTGATTTATCTCATTATTCTGTTCACAAAAGTATTAAGGTACGATAATCAAAAAGTCAACAGTTTACGAGTTATTTAACATTTTGTGTCAAAATAAAGTGTAAAATATCTCGAAAACTATTGGTTTTTTGATATCTCTACCTTAATACTTTTATATGCAAAATAATTAGAGGATTCACGTTATCTAAAAAAAAGTACACAATTCCATTTAAAAAAGTGGAGGTAACCTTCATATCTTTTTAGCGCCTCCACTTAGAAAAAAACAACGTGACTAAAACGTGTCCCCCTCGACACCGTTCCATTTTTATTTGAAACATTTTTGTCTACTGGATTTAGTTTTCGAGATAATCAGCTGGAAAGTTTTCAAATGAACATCCTGTATATATATATTTTTATCAATAAAATATATAGATTAGAACTAACAAGTTCTGATTTATCCTTTATAAAAAAAAATGTAATAATAAAAAGTAATAATTAATTATTTTGAGTAATAAAAGCATTGTTGTTTTGTGCTTTTAATATTCAAAATAAGTCATATTTTTAGTATTAAATTAGTCAGTATTAAATTGAATTTCTGTGACAAATGAGCTCTTAAATACATCAAATTAAAATTAACAAGTTTTGATTTATTACTCGACCGGATTATGTATGTTTGTATCTAGTATTTCAAATTAAACAAAGGATGGAGAAATATCATTGTTTTCCCTTCACTATTGTGTCATCAACTTTGTGTAACTTCAAGTTTCTAGAAAATCTAGACTTTGTAGACTTGTAGAGTAATGAAGTATTCTCCCTCCCTCTTTCTCTCTCTCTCTATCTTTTCTTCCTTTCTTCTGCAAATCGTATTTTAGATAGTTTTATTAAAAAATAAATTTCTTTGGCGCGGACTTCTATAATGTCAAAAAATACCCAAACAAAATTAAAAGTCATACAACTCCAAAATGATTACATAATAACTCCAAAATGATTACATAAATCATTTTTCAATCAGTTACGATTTATTTTAATATTGTTTTGATATTATCATGACCTAGCTGTTATTCTGTTATTATTTTAATACTCTTTATATCTTTAAATGTTGTAAGTAAATAAAAAATACATGTGCGTGACATTATATGTATAATAATAACTCAAATTCAAACGTAAAATCTCATTTGCTAGCGTTTTGAATTTAAGTATTAAATCTCAAACAAGAGCTATTTAACCAAGCATCGCAGAGGAAGAAATTACACAGTCTCTACACAAACAGTAATTTGAGATACGCCTACACAAAGGCGGCATCTCGCAGCTCAAGGTCTGTGAATAGCAGTGGAGAATAATATACGGGATCAACGTTCAATTAGCATTCGATTCAAGTCGACCACCTGCTGTCTCAATTTAAGGGATTATGCAGGTATTGGTTGTGAGATTTTCTCGTTTCATTTACTCGGGATATGGACGGTGATCCCTAAGGATGGCAGCGCAAATTTTTGCCTAACGCATAAGAAAATGAATCAGTCAATTAAGATTCTTCATTTCCTTCCTTTCCATCAAATAAAAGACTGAGTAATTAATTTTCTTATTATATGTCTTATGACGTTATGCAAGAATCTGTACTCTTGTCCTAATGGGCTTTCTATAATTACCTAAGTTTTAAATCGTAAGAAATTAACCAATCACAGTTAAATGTGAGAAGAATAATTAATCGATTATGATTGATCAATATAGCTTAAGACTTAATAATGACTTATTATTTAGATAATGACTTATTGTAGGAAAGCTCGTAAGAAAAGTGCGAGGGGCGAGTACAGGGCGCCCAGGATACCTAAATCCACCACTGCCGCGTTCTCCCTTCCATCCTTTTTTCTACTGAACAGCGGCCGCATGAACCAAACGCACGCACCACGCTGCGGTCTTTTCTCCCTTCCCAAATCCCACCCGCCGTTTTACTCCATTATCCGTCAGTAAGTCGCGGGCCGCCGACACGAGTGTGCTCGAAGTGTATCTTGTGCCGATCACGCGAAACGTGATCTCGGGTGCTCCGAAACAGATAAATATAAGAGAAAGGGAAAGAAAATACAAGAAGGACCGACGCCGCGCACATACCTACTCGCTTTAAAGAATCCAGGCGCGCGTTTTCCGCACCAAGTAAGGGTAGATCGATCGGTAGTACCCCCCCGAGGTCGTGGAGAGACGGTCCATGTGTATGGCATGGACCGAGATTAAAAATAGGGTTCTTTACGTCTTTTTCTTTCTATCTTTTACTCTCTCTCTCCTCTCTCTCTTTCGCTTTCATAAGACGCGGGTGTGTCGATGGACGATGATAAAAGTAGAATCTGGATCTCCCCCGCGCCAACACACCGCAGAGGCAAAGTATTGCGCGATCTTGACTGAGTATATACTGCTTAGGATACCCGGCACTGTTCACGCGCGAGAGTAATTTCCACGTACGGTTCGCGTGAACACGCGACGTAAGCATGTCTTTCCATATCCGACGGCGTCGATGGACTTCCTTTTTTGTTACCGGTGAACGAGCGTGTCACGACGCCGACCCTCGTCGTACGGACAGAAGGAGGTTAGGGTGTTCACAGACGTGTGTCATACTCCCCGAAATTCCCGCTGCACGTTTTGTCTAGCGATCGATCGCAAATCATCACCGCTCGTTCGAGCGGCGTAGATCCGGAATGTCTGTGAATTTCAGTCGTACACGACGTGGCGGAGCACGTGGTATGATTGCGACACCACGCGAAAAAATTATCGGCTATTTGCTTAATTTTTAATGGTAGCTCTACAAGTGGTTAAAAATTGCGAGTCTCTAAAAAAGTGGAAACCGCGGTTTAAACTTTAAAAAATCTTTCATTAATCTCTCTTATTGTGGATTTATATTAGCCGCGATTTGAATTGTTTATTCATAAAAGAGTAAATTATTCAATTAATTTTTAACAACAAATCTATAGTAGAAAATCAAAATTCTCTCCTAAAAAGAGCAAAAAGGTAATTGATGTAAATTAAAAAAAAAAAACTTTATTAATATGTTTCTTTTATTATATGTAGATTTATATTGATGATTACGATTTGAACTTTTTGTAATTTACTCGTAAAAGAATTATTTTTTGTTTTTTTAGTTAAATTCTTTTAATTGACAAATCTACGGATAGTAAGAAATTGAAATTGTGGATTTTAAAAGGATGGGAGAAAGATTGGTATAAATTTTGAAAAATCTCTCGTTCACGTCAGCTTTTTATTATGGATTTATATTGACT